CTATATAAAACTTGGTCTGTGTACATATACAATGTATGTAAATGTATATATATGAACACAACCACAATTGTCACTATATAAAACTTGGTCTGTGTACATATACAATGTATGTAAATGTATATATATGAACACAACCACAATTGTCACTATATAAAACTTGGTCTGTGTACATATACAATGTATGTAAATGTATATATATGAACACAACCACAATTGTCACTATATAAAACTTGGTCTGTGTACATATACAATGTATGTAAATGTATATATATGAACACAACCACAATTGTCACTATATAAAACTTGGTCTGTGTACATATACAATGTATGTAAATGTATATATATGAACACAACCACACTTGTCACTATAAACTTGTTCTGTGTACATATACAATGTATGTACATGTATATAAATATGAACACAACCACACTTGTCACTATAAACTTGTTCTGTGTACATATACAATGTATGTACATGTATATAAATATGAACACAACCACACTTGTCACTATAAACTTGTTATGGGTACATGTACATCTCCAGCTTGTCAATGTCCGACTGGAGGAATGGGTCCCTTATGATGGCTCCATATTCCAGTGTTGATCTGACGAGCGAGATGTAGGCTGATTTCCATGTTGTGGCTGGGCAGTGCAGGTAGAGGTTCCGCCTTATAAAGCCTAGGGTGGAACTAGTTTTTTTACAGATATTGTCGCTGTGGGTTCCCCATCGGAGATCAGACGAGATTGTGATGCTAAGGTAGGGGCTAGTCGGAACTCCTTTGAGGATAGTGTAACTGTTGTTCAGTTGGTAGTAATAAGATGACTTCTGCTTGATGGATATAACACATACTGGCATTGAATTGCATGCCCCATTGCTTGGCCCAAGATTTAGGGTTATTGAGCTCGCTGGAGGTTGATGTGGTCCTGGTGGGTGCGTATGATCCTGTATAGCAGGCAGTCATCTGCGAATAGACGTACTTGTGACTTGACGACATCAGGCAAGTCGTTGATGTGGCACAAAAATAATAGAGGGCCTAGGACTGTTCCCTTGGGGACTCCAGAGGCAACAGTGACCTACTACCTTCATGTGCCTTTGGCAGAGAAATGACCTGATCCATCGATCAGATTTCCAATATGGCGATGTCAGTCTATGTTCCTTTGTCAAAGTTGGAAACAAAGTTGTGCATGGTAACAGCAAGCTGGGTTTCACATGAACAACCAGCACGGAAGCCATGGTTGAGAGGTGACAGGATTGCGTGCTGGTCAAAGTGGTTTAGCAAATGATGACAGACTATGTGTTCGAGGATACAGGACGGTAGTTCTCTGGTGCATGACAATTTCCCTTCTTGAACACAGGACTGACGTTTGCATTCAGCCAGTTATCGCAGCTACTCATATGCTCGTTTTGTCATCTGCAGTAGAACTGATCGCTCTTGGGCTTTATCGGTTGTAGTCATTCAACAACGCTGCATGTATCGATTGGTAAGCTTTTGAAAAATAATAAAAGTATACATTGATGTATTCCGTCGCCAAGCCATCCGTAGTTCGAATTCTGGCCTACCAGACCAAGGGGTCACGCTTGTAAAATTATGATATTGTGAATGCTAAGGACTTAGAATGTCGTCTTTAGACGGAATTGTATGTAGGTTAGTTATTTGCATCTGTTCCCCATAATGGTAAACATCGTTAAAGGCAAATACGTCCTTAAACTGTCAAGATTCAACAGCGTTCAATCGCCAGGAGTGAGAGCACCGCCATATATATATATTGTTTACAAAAGTTTAACCACTTGACCTCTGACCCAAGATGTCAGCAGGAACAGTCAAAACCTTTTTAATAGCCAATGTACAAGTGCAATATATTCAAATACATTATAAGAGCGAAGCTCTCGGGTGCCAAAGGCGGAGTTCTTTACCAGTAACATGTGCGTGTAAATAGATCTGATCCAACCAAACTGATTCCATCACTGAATCATACAGCTTCAGCCTAGAATCTTTTGTACTTCCGGTGACCTCTTCCGGTTCATGGAGCCCGTAAATATGCCTAACCGAATAATAGAGCAACATGTAACGAAGCAGAAAAACTATGTATTCGAAACAACAAATTTTTCAAAAAATATTGACCATATTCAATACACTGGATGTGTTTATTATGCGATTTCTTTCCTTTTGTATCGAAAATAGAAATGATTGGCATGGTCATCAAAAAGCTTACATGAATGTCACAAGCAAATGGCATCGAAGAGTGCGTAAGAATGTGATTAGTTGACAAACTGTATATACTGTCGATTAAATTTAGTAAAGAAATAGATAATTTGATACAAACAACTTTCTAAACATACACATTTTCCATCTTAATATTGATAATCGATCATAACATACGACGGTCATTCCCACTAGGACAGAAATACCTGAGTATGTACGAAGCAGGGTCAATGATGAGGTCGCTTGGTTTTCATTGGATATTAAAAGGTCAGATCATTGACAAGGTCAAAGTTCACGGGTCATCTGCTCCAGTTAAACAGATACACATGATAAAACAGAATTGTCACCGACAGCTTTCCAAGGGAAAACGTAAGGTGTTTCAAAGGGGTCAAATTGTGGATTTTTCAGTATCACTACTCTTGTATTTGCATTTACTGTAGAACATCAACTTTATATTCAGTTCTTCTAAATTCTTCCATTTGGGATCGTTTCTGTTGAAATTTATGATATTACCTTTAGATTTTGCAACTAAAAACTGTGGAATTTCAATGCTAGATCTGCTTGTACAATAGATTGAATCTAGTTTCATCTAATGCAACAAAATTAACAATTACTTAAAAAAGACAAAACATTATCTGTACAGTTTTGTAAAATAAAATATATTGATTGATACTTAGATAAATATAAAATTTAAACGCTTGACAATTTGTACATGTACTTTCGTTAATCTGTGTAAATCATTACAACATTTTGATTAGACATTGAAGTGAACACATTAGTTTGCTCTGCTTTATGAATATCAGCAAAGAAGAGAATTAGAAACATTATATTTTCACCACTTTTATTTTTGTTAACAGATTGCATAATATACGACCGTCAGCAACCATTTCTAATCAAAATCAAAACTAATCCACATATGATGTAACTGGTGATGGCAAATGTTGTCAAATCTTGCACCGTTCTATGATATTACTTTTCAGTGCAGCGGCCCGTATGGACTGCTTTCAAGCATGTGTAATATTCTGTATTTTGCCCTCTTGTAATCAGAAATACCATTACAGTTCACGAAAATGTGGATAAGTACACATCAAACGTTACATTCAAATCATGACAAATGGTTTGAAACATGTACATGTAATGTAAATTTTACATTTCCATATATGTGTATGCGTAATCTTAAGTTGACAATGCGCGCAAACAACAAGTCTCCGAAAAAGATACAATGTTGTACACTGCTTCTGAAAACAAGGCGACACCGACCTCAAACGTTATATCGACCAATCGACAAGCCAGATGCAGTGAGTGACACGCTGAAACAACCGTTCGGTTTGTGGGCGTGTTCTTTTTGAACATGGCTTGTTGACGCCGTAACGATTTTGATTGTATTCAACCACATTTAACACCAATATTGACTCAAGAATTACAAGTTCATCATGAAACTGACATCAATTCCATCAAGTTAACACAATCATCACAGAACACAACACAACACACAATCTTTGACCCTCAAATTTGACAATGACATAATAAGGGTATCAATCAAACATCGAGGAAAACATGATCAAAATCACAAATCAAAAAAATCACTCAAAGTATGATTACACAAAGTTATACGATGGTGTCCATCCAGAAACTTCACTTGAAAACAAATGGTTTTAGCTGATATGACAATCTATCTCTAGGTATCTACAAAAACAGCGACGATGAAGAGGAGGAATCTCCTGCTGTAGATACCTGGAATTGCTAAGGTATATAATTAGTAAACACATTAAATTTCATCATTTCATGTGGATTAATACATTATTAAAAAGAAAAATCTAAAATCTTCTTTTTATACTTATAGTGGTGGGAGACGTGACAGTCTCTAACCTGCTGTGTCTAATATGTTAAACATATTTAATTTAAAAACAGATACATCCTTCATGGATTGGCATATCAGCTCAAACCATTTGTTTAAACATTCTGCTTACAACTCACATTATCATTTTTACTCTATGATTTTTTTCAAATGGCATTTGTTTCTTTTGGATAAAAATAATAATACATATTATTATGAACAGCCGTGAGTAGAGTATATACTTTTATTCTTGGATAAACAAGAACCAAATAAGGATACTATTACTATCAATATAGTCTAGCTATATAGTAGTACCGTATAATACAAACCCGTCAACTTCAAACTAACATGTGATGCGTCAAATTAGTGAAGTGTGAATGTGGATCATTCTAAAACAGAGCACACATAAGTACAAGGATGAAAGATTTTACCCAGCAACAGATTCAAGTATATCATTAAAAAAATAAAAAAAGTACAAGTACATTTTGTATGTATTAAAATGGGTCATGTTATGATTCAATGAGTATATAGAGATACTATTGAAACAAATGTACAGTACGAGCTTCGCTCTCTCCAGACCATGCCTGTGTCATATTATAAGTTCCGATTTTTAATTGAGGTTATTGAATATGACTTATCCGATGGTTGAAATTTAGGATGACTAAAGCATCTTTTAGATGGGTTTTTTCAACCCTAACTGTGACCGGACTAACCTAGTACCCTTACCCTGGAATTTATACTCAAATTTGAGGTCTTCCAGTAACATACAGATACAGATACAGATACAGTACATTTTGATGAGTGAAATAATTTTCTGGTGCAACTGCCAAGTTGCCAACCCGTCAGATATCAACACTGTAATTATTTCAGTAGGATGTAACAGTTAACTACTAATGAAAATATTAACCCTAATGCAACACATTGAAATGTGTCGATCGTCCTTTCCATCGTATCCTTACCTTATTGATGTTGATCAGCCAAACCGAAACCCGAAGTCTGTCAGCATACATCCGCGCTTGTACAGGTACTTGCCTGTACCGGAATTGCCTGTACCGGAAAGACTTAACTGTACCGCGGCGCATTCGCTTTGCTTATGAAACGATATAACCACCCTGTACAGTCAGGGATGTAAATTGTTTATTTTACTGATACAATAAGGGATGTCAATTGAAGTTATAGTATTGTACTGCTACAGTTAGGGATGTTGACACGAAGAGTCAGGGATGTCAATTGAAGTTATAGTATTGTACTGTTACAGTTAGGGATGTTGACCTGTACAGGGGACGTAAAACTTAAGTATGCATTTTAGATTGTACTATATAAGTGCTTATTCGGTAAATTTTTACACTTTGCTATATTAGCATATATATGTTTAAAGCCATGTGCTTTTAGTCACCCAACAGTTTTGCATGATATCCGTGCTTAATCTTATCTATGTACTTTTAATTAATATGTTTAAATATTTTCATTTGTCTAGCAGTGCCTCTAGATAACAGTACCAACTCAAAATGTTTGCATGATTCACAAAAAGCAAGTGTGTAGTAATATCAACAGTACTGCATGTACCGTTACATTAGTACCTCTGAAAATACGGGTTTTTTAAGAATAAACAGGTTAAAATGGCGGCTTTGATATGTGAGGGTTATTTTTCATGACACATTAAAACACGTACTCCTTTTTAATTCCCTATTCAATTTTCAAAACTGATTTCTAACCAGGTTCTTAAAATGAAGTTGTTACAATACTTGCAAAGACCAATAATTTAGCTCTGAACATAAGGTTTTTAAGAATAAACAAGTTAAAATGGCGGCTTTGACGTGTGAGGATTTTTTTTCTTTCTTAACACATTAAAACACGAACTCCTTTCTAATTCATTATTTAATTTCAAAAACATCTTCAGATATTTATTCAAACATAACATGTCTAGCCAATTGAGCTCTTAAAATACACTGTAAAATATACAAGTTAAAATGGCGGCTGTGATGTGCGAGGGTTAATTCCTTTCATGACCCCGGCACTCCTTTCTCGTTCATTATTTTATTTCAAAAAACGTATTAAGATATTACATTATATTTCTAACCAGCTTCTTTATATGAGCCATATATCTAGGATATGTGACATGTTGCCACGAACTAACGAATACACGATCGGATTCTCACAGGTAACTCACTAACCAGACTATCGTCACCAGGATCTCATAGATCAAGTTCCGCGTGATTGCGCAGCCGCAACCCAAGTCTCGCGGCGTTTGTAATTCCACTGCCTGAACAATACAATCATGCGTGTTTTTGCGAGATCTGCGTGAGTTGCCAATCTCTGTAATATATGTCTCTGCTTGCTGTGATATTTTTTCTTATGTTTTGTCGTAATAATAGCTCTTCAGAGCTAATGTTTCTGTTTTCATATATACGACTTTAAATAAAATGTCTTGGATCTTGCAGAGACGTATATACTACAGAGATTGGAAACTGCCTCTTTCTCATACCGAAGCGCACCCGTGTCAGGTAGTCTATTTGGATGACATCGATTTCATTGCAACGGCCTAGGATATCGTTAGAGGATTTCCGAAACGCAAATTACGGCAGCCATTACTCGTCATCCAATATTTGTATGTCAAATTTATATCTTTCTTAGAAGGTTTTTTTCAAAATAAATTAACTATCAATATTTTATAGTGTTGTCCTAAATTTAAAACTCCATCTTAATACTGAAATAGATGTTTATAAATTTAAGAAATCCATGGGTAAAGAACACACATCGTGATTTGAGGGCGACTAATTAGCGGGTGTACATACAAATTATAATTGTTACCCTGTGACGAGTTCAGGTGTGAATTTGGCAGGGTATGTCAATATGTCGTGAACCTTTCTCTAGAATTTTAATTAGCCAGAGGAGTAAGATTACAATTACTAGCACCGATCCCCTAAGGCTTTTACCCATATCCGCACCTACCTCCCTTAGTTCGGCTCCNAGTGAATAAAATGCTCATTTCGATGCTCTTATAATAAGGCTTTATCGTGACAACGTCCTTTTCTCTTAAAACTTTATTTCGGTATGTCAATTAATATTCCAAAAAAGTTATGAAGTCGATATATCAGAAGAAAAATAATAAAATATTGTAGAATTTAATATCAATGAACCGATTGAAAATTGACCATCTAGAAAATGAATTCGCCTAAATCTAATAAAATCATCATCGTTGGATAGCCTCGTTCTTAAGGTAATATTTTCAAAACGGCTAATGGCTCTCTTTACGATACGTTTCCACTCACCTTTTCCCGGGAATTTTAACTCTCGCTGGTACTATCGAGATAGGATCTTAGGTTGTATTTGTGAAGTATTGCAACTATATCCGGGATGAAACCACGTTGTTGTGTTGTATTTCCGTCTTCCTCGCCAATAATGTAGCTATATAGACGGACTAAGAACATTCTTTTTACAATCTATCTACAATCTAAGTGAATCAGTTGTGCTATGAAGATGAGTTTCCGTTGGTCAATAGAGGCGCCTATTCGCTGGATCCCCAATATGCTTTCTGCAATGTCTGACCGTGTCTCTTTCCTTACGTTTAGGATAAGTTTGGCAGCGTAATGCTGGAACGTATTTAAATTACGGATATCCGTCTGGTTGATTTGCGACCAATGTTCGCATCCGAAGAGAATTGATGGAATGACGACTTTCCTGTATAGATTAACTTTCACTAAAGCATTCATGGAAGTCGACTTTGCATTAATTCCAAGAACAGCATGGATGACTCTTCTTCCTTTTGCTTTAGCAACCCGTTCGCCATTGTTCATGCTATTGGAAACTCGGACGCCGAGGTGTAGATATGATAATGCAATTTGAATAATTGGTTCCGATTGACCAGGAAAACGAGGGTTCCCTTGGAATAAATCTGCCTATCACGATAATAGAGCATTTGGAACTATTAAATCTATACTGCCATGTCGTGCTGTAGGTGTGACATATATTTAACATATTTTGTAGCGAGGCTGGTGTTCTAGCAATTAAGGCAACATCATCAGCGAGAGTAGGATTACCTGCCGGTATAGACACGATTCTAGTTCCTTGGTTGCTCTTTTCTAGGGTGCAAAGTAGGCTGTCAATAAACACTTGGTATAGAAAACTTGACAACACCCCACCTTGTCGACCTCCGGATTTAACAGTGACCCATTCTGACGTCATGCCATCATACATCACCGCACTCAACACGTCATTTTAGGAATTAGATATAGTTCTGTATAGCTGACCCTCAAGCCTAATGCGTCGTAGTTTAAACATCAGACCTTGGTGCCACACTGTGTCGAACGCCTTTTGCGTGTCTAGAAAGGGTATGAAAACATTGCTTTGCTGTTCCATGTTCGAAAATACAGTTTCTTGTAAAGCAAATGAAGCAGTGGTACAACCGAGATGCTTGCGAAAACCATTCTGTTGTTGGTTTGGAAACACACCAACAGAGGATGCCAAACGCGCTTGAATCCGGTTATTCACGACCTTTTCGAATAGCTTATATGTTACACGTAGAAGTGTTATTGGTCTATAGTTGCCGGGGTCACACTTGGATATGTTCCCGCCTTTGTGGATGGGTATGATTAGACCTTTCTTCCATATCATAGGGATACGAGCGTACCGTTTGAGGTGGTTAAACATCTTAACAAGACCGAGTATCAGTTCACGACCACCATATCGGAGGTGTTCATTCTGAAGGCCATCTATGCCTGGGGCCTTTCCCAATTTGGTTTGTCGGATACAAGTTTCAACTTCTTCAAACGTGAAGTCGTAGTCCATTGTATCGCAATCAAGGAATGGTGGATAATCCTCGTTTGCATTGATATCTACCAGGTCGATATCATTGGTCTGCGCGTTGTAAACCTGGTTAAAATACTGCGCGAACGCATTCGATATATTCGTAGGTGACCGCAGTGTCTCACCGTCAAATTTGAGGATATGACATAACTTCCTTTTACATCCATTAAACCGTCTTAGTGCGCGCCAAAAAAGTCGGTTGTCGCAGTCGACAGCTGCTGATAGTCGTCGAAGACAGCGCGTTGAGTTTTACGGAAGTGCCGTTTTCCCTCTTTATACCGTTTGTATGTAGGGTGGCCCATCCCCCTAGGTCGTCCTTCAGATATCCATCTGTTTCGAAGAGAGCGTGCAGCTTTATGCGCATCCCTAACAACATGTGTCCAGTACGGTTTAAACTTGGGGTTAAACTTCACCGTTGGTATGCTTCACGGGCACACATCATACACGTGTTCGTAAGTAGTGAGCAAAAGCGGTCTAAGTCAGAAGTCGAATCAATTTTAAAGTCACAGTTGAGACAGAACGTTGCATCTACAGCCAGTTGGTACTGAATAAGTTGGTGAACGTCACATCTCCTCCAGTCCAAATGGGGAGGAGGTACATACCCGGAGCTTGGCTCGATTGTCTCTGGTAGCGATAATGAACATTCAACTACGAGGTGGTCAGATGCGATGTCAGTGTCTGCCGTTCAAAACACGGTGCAGCTCTTTACACAGTCAAATAAGGAGTCCTTTATGAGTATGTAGTCAAGAGTAACAGTTGTTGTTCGAAATGTGTATGTAGCTCCACTGAGAAAGGGGCTTTTGTTTACAGGAATTAAGTTCGTTGATTCCATAAATTTGAGGAATAGCTCCTTTTTGTGTCTTGCTGAACCCGACAGTGGATTAGTATCGAATTGTGCGTTAAAGTCACCGGCAAAGACCACATCACCCAGGTCAGAGTAAAAATGGGATATGTCAATAAGGCAATCTAATGACTCTCTGTACGTGGGCAAGCCATTATCACTAGGCATATATGCACCGAACACGTAAACCGGCGTGGCGTTTCCTCGATTTATCTTTATTCCAGTCACTCTACTTGATTGAGGCACGTTTATAGTGTCAATGCAGTAACGGTATTCCTTCTTAACAAAAATCGCAAGGCCTCCATTACCACAAATGGTTTGATCACATTCGTTATGATTAGGGTATACATTGTAGTTTTCGTGAAGCGAACGCGG